GAGAGAGAGAGAAATAGAGACAGAAAGCGAGAAATCACCCCCCAGGGGGGATGGTCACGCCGCAATCCCTTCTCCTCCATTCTCCTCTCGGGATCTTGGGCATGCACGCACACGTGCCCGGCGTGAGTTTTAAGCCACCAGGTCCAGGACACGAACCGCGGTCGACTACGTGGGAGTCCAGCGACATAGCCATTACGCTAACTGCTGGTTCCCCACCGCACAAGCTTTTAACTGCTTGTCCACAAGTCAGTCTGCAAAAGCCTTGACGGCCGGGCACCTGGCTCGTCCCTGGGTATCCCCAAGGAGATGCGCCCCGACCTGGGCTTGCCTCCTCCCACTGTTGGGCCAGGCGCTGCTTGGTCTCTAGGTCCCCCTCTCTGAGTCGCTCAGCTTCTTGCCCTTTCTCAGTCCCTCAAAGCCGCTCTCCTTTTCTGGTCTTCCTTTTCTCTCTGTCTTCATACTGCCCTTATTTTTACCCCTACCCGGTTATCCCCACCACATGCAACCCCACATGACCCACCCGCTCCCAGCTTTCTAACCACCAACAAAAACAGCTCATTTTTTGGTGAACCCTTCTTCCTAGCCTTTCCTTTTCCTGTGCTGGGGCCATAACCCAATTCCGTTCCTCAAAGTGGCTAAATTCAGAATGTCCGGAAAGAGCAGCCTGTGGGCATGGCAAACCCAGAATTTATGTGGGATTTGTGCCAGGTGGGGCCGTAGGGGTGCCGAGAATCCTGTGCAGGACAGCTGGGCTGAGAGAGGAAGGGCGCTAGGTGAGATCATGCAAAGGGAAAGGGTGTGTTTACCCTTATCTCCTCCCCTCACCCCAAATTTCAGTTCCCAGAGGATCTATGAGGTGCTTTGGTATCCCTGAGTGAGAGTATATGTGAGAGGGGAGAGTTTCTTAACTCCCAAGCAGAGAGTCAGTCATGAAGAGGCCATTCAAAGTCTGGAACAAAAGAAGTCAACTCAGGAGTCTCAGATCCAGCAGGGCCACAGCTCCAGTGACAGCCATGTACCCCATTCTATGGTAAGCAGGATGTTGAGCAATGCAAGTGCAAAGGAAGGCCCATCCCCCGGGTGTGACAGACACTATTGTCTAGCCAGGAGGCCTAAAGTGAAGCCCAGCCAGACCTGGTCCCTCTGACACACCTAGACTAAGAGGGTCAGTGAGATAGAGCAGCAGGGGTTTGAGTGGGTGATGAGTGTGCTTTGGGGACAATGATGAGGCCACTGCTTTCGGATGTGGTCCAAATGAGAGTCACACCAAGCAAACAAGCTTCCGTCATAAGCATCTATTTCATTTGTGCCAGAAGTCTAGGCTTCAGTCTGGGAGTCAAGAAGGAGGGGTTAGGGAGAGCACATAGTATACTCTCAAGAATTTAAGAAGCCCCCGAAGTTTGGAGGGCTCAGTCCCTTACTCAGATGCAGAACTATGTAAGGAAACACAGGCAGTGCTCTGACCCTCCACTCACAGCCACCACGGCTCGGACCCACCAGCAACAGAGCCAGCAGGACCTCACGCTCACACCATCATACATCCTCCCCGTCATATCCCCCCATTTCTCCTTTGTGTTCCCCCACCAGAAGTGCCATGGCAGCCCTGGGGGACAAGACCTCCCCTCTGTGGACCAACTGTAGTAGTGGCCAGCAGGTAGCCGTAAGTGACCAGAATCAAACTCTGGGATGTAGTGGTATCGGGCTTTCAGCACCGTGACAAACAGCCTTACAGATAATGACCTTCATAGATAGGCTCTCTCTACCTCCCCACTCCCTCCACCTCTTAACGCAACAACTCATGAGGGTTCCCAAATGAGCACCGGAAGCTGGGTTTGCAAGGCCTGGTGAGTGTAATGCATCCGGATGGGGAGTTGCAGGAGGCTGGAAGTGCCCAGGACAGCAGCCTCTTCAGTGGCCTCACCTACACAGGACCCTCCACCCTCCTCCCAACAGGCCACTTTTAAAGACTGGGCCATGCTAGAAGCTCGGGCCCAGTGTGCTACCAGGCCAAGGAGCAGGAGAGCGGGACCAGGCAAGTAGACCCTCAGGGATCCCCCAGATGGCTGTGGCCCTGGTCATGAAGGCTATAGGTGATGTCTTCCCACAGGTCGTCCAGACGGTCCTGCAGCCTGCTCAAGGCCTTGTCACTGTCTGTTTGCCACTCAGGGGCAAAGGCGTGGTGGCCTGGTGGGGGTGGGGCCAGCTGTTGCTGGACCTCCTCTGTCTCCTTGTCGATGGCGTGGGTGAAGGCAGCAATCTGCAGGAATGTGTTGTGACGGAAAGCCTGGAGCCGCTGGCGGGCCTCCTCCGGAAGAAACCGC